TGGGGAGGCTGGGGAGGCTGCGGTGGTTGGGGTCGCTGCGGCGGATGGGGTGGCTGGGGTGGCTTCGGCGGCGGCGGCTTCGGCGGCTGGGGATGGTAGATAGAAGGTCACCACCACCGCGCTCGCCTATCACACAAAAGGATCGAACGGCCGACTGCTTGTGCCTGTCGACGGCAGCCGCAAGCGCTTGCAATCGATGCCGCGGTTGTCTCTCGAGTGTCAACAGCAGTCTCATACAACTACTGCTGCCAGTAATCACTCCATACAAAATAATTGAGAATCCAGACTTCTTTCTTGCCTTTTCGTCCCTTGTCTTCTTGTCTTGCTCGATTGCAAAGCTGGTCGGCAAGATCTTTCCTGCCGATTCAATCCAATAACAGTACTACGACTTTGACCGGCCAATGGCGGCCACTACCGTCACGAACCAGCAGCTCAATACCGATGCAAACAACAACTAACTTCTCCACAGCAAGCGGCATACCCACTGCATCACGACGGTCGACTTCGAACTTTATGGCCACTGGCGGTGGTGCGCGCTCTGCCTACGCTGTGGCAATGGCGTCCAATCAATAGCAACAATCAGCGTTCAACGCTCGACGCTCGCCATCGAAGAACGTAGCCGCCGTCTAGCAGGTATCAACCGGCCACTAGCCACATCCATCAACATCACTACAGACCAGCGGAAACGACCGGAAAATGACCAACAAGTAGACAGCCACACCAGCGAGCAGAAAACCCGCAGACTTTTCACACTCCAGACCACCACCGACCACCACCATCAACGGGCCACCGCCCGGCCACCAACCTCACTCCCACACGACAACTTGCCTTCCTTCACACAACCGAGTGAGCGAGTACCGACCCGTCCGACATACCGGCCGACCAACTGAAAGCCATGAAGTTCACCACTCTCGCCGTCACCACGCTAGTCGCCGTCGCGTCCGTCGCGTCCGCCAACGACTACCAGCCGGCTCTCAGAGCTCTCGCCGTGCCCGAACCTGTCGCTCCTGTCGCTGTGGAGCACAGCGTGCAGCAACCCGCCGCGGCCACTGCTTCCGTCGACGCTGCCGGCAAGGAGGCCACGCATGCCGACAACAAAGACGGCGACGAGAAGAAGAAGAAGGAATGGGGCGGCGGCGGATTCGGATGGGGAGGCCCGTGGGGAGGCTGGGGAGGCTGCGGTGGCTGGGGTCGCTGCGGCGGATGGGGATGGTAGATAGAAGGTCACCACTACCGCGCTCGCCTTTTACACAAAAGGATCGACCGACCGGCTGCTTGTGCCTGTCAACGGCAACCGCAAGCGCTTGCAATCGATGCCGCGGTTGTCTCTCCAGTGCCAACAGCAGTCTCATACAACTACTGCTGCTAGTAATCACTCCATACAAAATAATTAAAAAGCCAGGCTTCTTTCTTGCCTTTTCGTCCCTTGTCTTGCTCGATTGCAAAGCTGGCCGGCAAGTCCGAGCTTGTATCTTTCCTGCCGATTCAATTCAATAACAGTACTACGACTTTGACCGGCCAATGGCGGCCACTACCGTCACGAACCAGCAGCCCAATACTGATGCAAACAACAACTAACTTCTCCACTGCAAGCGGCGTACCCACTGCATCACGACGGTCGACTTCGGACTTCATGGCCACTGATTACAGCGTGGCAACCGCGTCCAATTAATAGCAACAATCAGCGTTCAACGCTCGACGCTCGCCGTCGAAGAACGTACCCGCCGTCTAGCAGGTATCAACCGGCCACTAGCCACATCCATCAACATCACTACAGACCAGCGGAAACGACCGGAAAATGAACAACAAGTCGACTGCCACACCAGCGAGCAGAAAACCCGCAGACTTTTCACATTCCAGACCAGCACCGACCACCACCATCAACGGGCCACCGCCCGGCCACCAACCTCACTCCCACACGACAACTTGCCTTCCTTCACACAACCGAGTGAGCGAGTACCGACCCGTCCGACTACCGGCCGACCAAACTGAAAGCCATGAAGTTCACCACTCTCGCCCGTCACCACGCTAGTCGCCGTTGTGCTTGGCGTTGGGATTGAACCTGACGAGCATGTCTCCAGAAACCCCCACTCCGCGACGAAATCCGGACTGCGTATGAATTCGATCCGGTCTATTCGAGTATTCTGGAGCATCTCCGCTCGCCCAGTGAAAAGACACTGAGTGCTTTGTCGCGCTCCACACGCCATCAGATCGATAGGTATCGGATTGAAGAAATGTAGTCCGCGTTGGCGTCCAGGAACGACGTGTGCACCTCTCGCAACAGTTATGATGCTGCTCGTGCACCAGCGCCGTCGCAGACCAAATAAAGCGATCGTCAGGCAACCCGCGAGCGAATAACTCTACACCTGTACCTCCATCTAGCAACGTCACGCATGGGATCCTACGTGTTGTCGTGGTCATCATACATGTACAACCAGGGTTTCCTAGAATAGTATTGCAATTATATGGTAAACAACTGATGAAATATATAATGGTGAGCATGGTAGAGCCGACATGAAATACATTATTGCACCCTTGACAAAGATGAAATACATTATGCATACCTCAAATTCAATTCTGCTTACCAACCATCTGCACCATTGCC